ACTATTCGTTTTAGTAATTATAATTATAGACAAATAATACAGGCCTTACACATTTTAGAAGAGTAACAATGCTGCACAAGATAATATACATAAGAAATAATCAAACATGACCTTTCGTCCCTGGTAGCAAGAAGACATAAAAAGATATATTTCCAGGATTGCATCCCTCTAAAGAAAATTATTTTGAAAGAGCCATACAAATATTTCCTCTGTGTACTAGAAAAGCTCATATGAGTAAATATACATTTTTGTACTATGGCTAGTATTTTAGCTATCGACTTTGTGCAACAGCAAGGTTCCTCATAGGTTATTGCTTCTACCCTTCGCTGAGACTGAAGTTTCTGAAAGACGGAGAAAAAAAAAAAGGTCAATACAAGAATTCCCCTGTGTAGCCTCAACAATAGTTTTAAATTACACTCCTTGATGCTGTGACATGACATTAAATCTGTCCTACCTCCACAGAGAAACTGCAGTTCATTGGGACAATTAAATGAGCACTTTAAGATTTCAAAGCTTACTCTGAGATTTAAACAGATATCAAATAACTGAGCAAAGGATAAGTCCTCCGAACTGTAACAGTATTGTTTTTGCAAGATGTATACCCTGGAGAACATGTATAGATGGTCTAGAGGGTTACATTGAACACACATTAATGTGTTACATTAATCTTTAATTAGCTGTTCTTAAAACTGAAAATGATCTAATGAAAGAGCTGGCTGTTTTCTTTCATGATGTACAATTGAGCAAAACAGTAATTATTATTCACCAAATAAAGGTTAGGTTTTGGCATTGAACTGTTTGCCATGTACAAAGCTGCACACTTTTTATTGTGTATAACAGTGGTAGAGTTAATTTAATGATCTCCCATTAATCAAAACTATCCTGTTCATGAGATCTTATTTGTTCAAAACCAGGCTGAAGAGAGCGGTAATGCTGAACATAAACAAAGAAGTTCTGTGTCGTAAACCAAGACAATGAGCTGAAACATGCTAAAACGGTCTGGGAACTGTCATGTCGGGTGATAATTCTCTGTGGGTTCAACACTACTACTAGTGACCCCTTTCACATTACATTATTTGAGCCATTGTTAATATAAGAATATACAGTAGTGCACCTTTAAGCTGGTGCAATATTAACTGGCGCTTCAGTTCGCAGAAAAGAGTAATCGCTTAAGATCCCAGCCCTCAAACCTTTGTGTAGCTGTCAAAGTATCTGCTTTGAAGGATAAAGATGACTACATTTGGGTTGTCTGTTTTGTGAGCCAGTGTGCAGTTATGTTCAAAGTACATCGGATTCTTTCTGTCTGTCTGAGACGGCCTCTCCTGGCTGGTTTCAGTGCCTGTGAGACGTGGCTGTTTTCCATGCTCTTTCCAGCCAAGCCCACCATAGCTCCATCTCCCACCTCCAAAGTTCTCTTCTGGGGAGTATTTAAAAGGCAACCCCCCCTTCCCCATGCTTGTCCAGCCTGAACCACCCCCCACCCCACCTAATCTCTTTCTCCCTTTTTATGCCTGTTTTCATTCTTAAACTCCCTCTCCCCTTTCCCTTTTTTTTACAAGGTCCCTACAGACCTTTCCCTTGGCCTGGCTCCAGGACAGTTGCTAAGTAAATCACTCAGTCAGCAGGGCTAGTAAGAAAGCAAAGAATTCCACACGATCCTGGGCCTTTCATGCCTGCTCTTCCCTCTCTTTCTCTCCTGCTTCTGATTCCTCTACCTCCCTGTGCAGTGCACCTTCTCATATATTATATCTTGAGTAAAAAGAGAGGATTAAAGCTTGAAAAGGACATATTGGGTCGTTTTTTGAAGTGAAGGAAAGGAGAAACATTTGGGATCATCCCTGTGTGCATGTGTATGCATGAGACGGGAGGTGGGGGTCTGTCAGCCATGTGTTGCTCTGCCTGCTTTGTAGCGGCTGCAAGAAATGCTATCCGATCCACGTTTTCCACCCAGGCTCTATTGTTGAGAAAAAAAAAAAAAGATTCCAAGACTTGTGCCCCATTAAACTTTTTCAGCCTGCTCTTGACTAATGCTGATTTTTGCCCAGACTCATTATACCCCAAAAATAATTACCATTGAAACTAATTCTTGCCCACTCATGCATGGAGTAATTGGTGTGTAAAAGGAAAAAAGAGTAAGGAGTGGGCTCCTAAATATAGAACCATAGTCTCGAGTTTGTTTGCAGCTACAGCTACTTGGTTTTGTCAGTTGTAGCCCCCCTTTCCCTCATTTGGACCATAGCTGCCCCATGTGGGATCATTTAAAGATCTCTTGGGCTGTCCCATGTCCACAGGAAAGGAGGGAGGGGCGAAACCAACATTAAACTCTACTTTTCCACAGGTGGTGATGGCCCCACATGAACCAGCAGTGGTATTTGTTGATAACTACATCAAGCTCCTGGCTGATGGCAACCCTGAGACCTTCCAGAAGATTCTGGACATGAAGGTCAGTTGGTTTGACTCTGCTAATAATTTAAAGGAATAGTTTAAATTTTGGGAAGCTTGTGTTCCTGTTGAAAGATGGGAAGATCGATACCACTGAATACTATACCATATGGAGCTGGATAAGCTGAAGCAGCTGGTTAGCTTAGCTTAGTTTAGATTAGGTTATCTTAGTTTAGATTAGGTTATCTTAGTTTAGATTAGGTTAGCTTAGTTTAGCTTCTCGGGGGAAACAACTAGCCTGGCACTGTTTGGTGGTAGGTAAATCAGCCTACCAGCACACCTAAAGCTCACTAATATCTGCATATACCCTCCTGTAAAACCACAAGTTGTCGTTGTTTTTCCATTGATTAAACAAGACATATGATGTGATTATATATATTAGTGACATTAGTGAAGGTGCTGGTAGGCAGATTTTATTACCTTTTGAATGGAGTCAGGTCTTCTGTTTCACACAAGGGGGTAAGCCACAGTTGAAACAGTGAAGCCGACCAAAGCCTGCATGGATGGTCCCATGTAGGCCCAAAAATTACGTAAAAAACCTGTGACATCCCTTCGCACATGAGAGATGTAACCATATTGCTTAGACTATAAATTCTCAGAGAATCTAAAACAACTATTCGGCTATCAGTGACACTACATTGGTGTTTGGCAGGTGAGCCTTGGTGGTGGGCTGATTAAACAGTGACGATCTGAGTCAGACAAACTGAGGCAAGAAACTTTTTGTTTGTGCAGCTACCAGAATTATGGTGTTTCTGCCGTTGCTCTACATCATTAAACCACGGTTATGTTGCACCATCATGCGACACTGGTGCCAACAGGAAGTAGCCATGTAGTAGTATTTTATTGGTCCAAAACTGGCTTCACTGCTCTCCATTCAAACCAGCGGGATAGCTTTGGCCAGTAATATACTGTCTATGGTTTCACACCTTTTCCAGTATTTATGCTAAGCTAAGCTAACCAGCTGCTAGTTCCAGCCTCATACTGAACATTTAGGTGTTTTATGTTTTTTTTTCCCAAAATGTCAAACTATTGCTTTAACATGTAACTCTGCATTTCTCTCATTTAGCTTCTGTTTGAAACCTTGTTTGTATTATGGGTAAACGTAAAAGTCTGTTTTAATGTTTTCCCCGTAATTCCAAAACAGCTCACCTGTTATAGTGAACCAACACACTTTTATTTTTGTATTTTCCTCTTGTTCTGTGTTTAAGAGAGATTTTTTAATACTCTGTGATTTCCACTGTGTGTGTGTACTTTGTGTGTTTGTGTAGGGTCTGAAGCGCAGTGAACAGAGCAGCATGCTGGAGCTCTTCAGGCAGAGGCTACCCACTCCACCCTCCGGGGGTGACGGCGGCCACTCTCTGTCCTTCAGTACACCCACCCCTGAGCAGGAGTCCTCCCGTATCCGTAAACTAGAGAAACTCATCAAGAAGAGACTGTGAACAGACACACACTGAAATTGCATCCTGAGAATTAAAAGAACTGAATGATGGGATGGTCTTCACCTCTGTTGCAGTTATTCATCTCAAAGACTACACTTTCTGACTGACAGTAGTATGAATGAACCCAAGCTGACCATGCTGGATTATGAAGAAACTTCCTCAGCTGCTACTTGCTGTTGTTACACATCATCTACTTCTGTAATTTCCCACTTTTCCCCCCATGACACTAATGTTTAATCTTTGTAACATTAGTACATTATTGCACTCAGAAGACTAAATGTAGTGCTGTAAATTCTGCTCAAAAAGCCCTCTGGCTGTCTCTCTGGGACATGTCTAATACAGGATCATTGCAGGCAGCATGATCATTTAAATTCATATTTGAACAAAACTTTATTTGAAGGATAGCCATGGTTTCCCTAAACTGTTTTCATTTCAAGTGGGGAATACTGGGTTGAAACTTGTGTGCATTTGTGTGCCATCCATTACAGGTGTGAACGCGTCATAGGTGTTGGGATTTTTTTGTGTGAACGAACGGTGCAGCTTCAGTCAGACATGCCAGCTTTGCCTTGGCATTTAAAACTCCTCTGGGTTGACTTGGAAGTTAGAACCAGTTAAACTTAAAGGATTTTAACTTGGAAAAACAGCACATCACAGTCTCTGGAAGAAAACAAAAAAACGACTACTTGTTTGAAGTCAGCGCCCTGGTTATGATCACTGACTTTGATGCCAGTGCCTCTCACATTAGCAAGTCCTTGTAACCTTAGATTAAATGTAAATTAGTGTACACATTCCTGCCTTCAGGTACAAGATGTTAATGTGTGTATTGTATGCTACACGGGAAATTGTTGAACACTATTAAAACTTTGCCACAGTTTTCCCTTGTGCTTCATCAAACGGGCGTATACTGCTTCAATTTGCACAATACCAGGAAAAAATATCAACCTGGGTTTTTTGTTGTTTTTTTTTTTTAACCAGGGTCCAATTTTGAATGAGGGGCTGGACAAGTTCCCATGACCAGCTCCGTCTCTGGTTGCCACTTGTTCTCCATCCAATCAGGAGGCTGTAAATGCTCCAAAAGGCGTTTCCTTTCGCCTGTTTGTGGATCTGAAGGCCTCCCTGAGGGGAAAGAAGTTTGAAGTCGGGCCGCGGGTAGCTACGTCCTCACATCCTTTTCCCTGCTCAGACAAAAAGTGGTCAAACTTCCTTATGTCTTTATACACATTCATCTTGGAGTTGGGTCATGCTTTGATATTTTTGAATGTCAAAGTAAAGGACGGGTTTTATTTTTAAGTGTTTTGGTTTTTTTTGGTTGGTGGGATCTGAATTAACGTTACTGCCCGGTTGATGATATTTCCACCGGGCAGACGTTGCATCCTGTCCGGAACAAGTTTAGCTGTAACACCGTGGGACTTTGCAACAACAACAACAACAAAAACTCTTACGGAAGTGCAATTTGGAAATATTTCTCTTTCGTAACCTGCGTTGTACTCTCTGGAGTTTTGCAACTTTTAACCAGAAATGGTTGGCAGGTTGAACTTGCCAAATGCATGTGAAGGAGATCCACTGGAGATGAGCTGCAGGGCTGATAGAGGACTTGACAGCCCGGACTCTGGGTTACCCCCGAGCCCGAGCCCCAGCGCCTGGCTGCTGCCTGTGTGTGCGGAGAAAGCTGGGGGCGTGAGCCCGGTGTCTGAAGACGAGGGAAGAGGCTCCCTGGTAGGTAACCCTAAGAAATAAATTAAGTCTTTGGAGCAAAACAGACGACCACAAATTGCAGCTGACATTTAGTCGTTTCAACCCCCTGCGCATTCCATAACTTGCAATTTGAAAGACTTGGCATACTAACGTTACTATGAATTTAGCACGCATTAAAGACTGGTAGCTTCCACGGATGCATAAATTGGTGTTATAGGGTAGTTTGTCCTGCAAATTCCAGGTTGATTTGCATTGGAATAACGTTAGATGTTGCCACTTTTGCCAGTTCGCTCTGGAATTGTTTCTGCCAATCAGGATCCATGCCTAATGTTTTGCTGACTGCCAATAATCCCGCCTAAGCAAGCATAAAAAGCATAAGTAATTAGTAAAAAATATGTTATTTGCTGCAAGAAATTGTTGCATGTTCTGGCTAGCTGAAGAAAGTGGGTCACTTCAGCACTCGACTGGCCCTATGAGAACTTGAAAGTATTGGCTCCTTGTGTTGACTGTAGGGCTGATTTTTATATTGCAGGTTCCTGTTTTACGCACCAGATCTATCCAGCAGCTACACCCATTGTCCTTTGGGGAAGGCATAGCACTTGATCCATTACCACCAAAGGAAATAAGGTGGGTTGGCTTTGATGTGACCTCTGTGCAGCATTAGACCTGCTGGAGGAGTGAGAATATGCTTTTTTTTCTAAATCACACACCATGAGGATATGCAGGCTGTGGTATTTTTATTTTAATGTATACTAAGATGGCCAACAACTACAATATGTGTACATAAGCAAACAAGAGAACAGCGGACTTGGACAGACTTTGGGTTGTAGTGTCATTGGTGGAGCTGGGATGCAAACTATAGTTTTGCTCCAAATATAACCACTACACTTTACGTCCTCCACAGATACACCTCATCCGTGCACTACGACTCAGACCGCCACTTCATCCAGGGCGTGGCCCTGCAGCCATGGGGCCAGGGCCTTGAACACTGCAGGCAGACCATCATGGCCATGCCCCACAGCACCTGGCGCCACTACAAGACACAGCTGGAGTTCCAGCCTCGCCATCGGCCGCAGCTCTTCAAGACCACCACCATCGTCTACCCTAAGAAAACCAGTGCCGTCTACACCACAGAGCTGAGCTACGACTGCCACCGACTATCCAGACGTTTCCTCTCCAGTGTGGAGTTGGAGGCGGCTGGCCACAGAAAGCTACCTCAGTGAGGGGGCGGGGGGGCAGGTGGCTAGGGATATGCAAGGGTGGTGATTCCCATGGCCCTTATACTGTAGCTCCCCCCAAGGCTGGGGGCCATTGACCTGCTGTGTTGTCTTTTTACAGTTCTATAGCCTGTTATCCTTTTAAGTGCCCTTCCCAAGCTGTGGACAGGAAGCATCTGTGCTGCGATGTATAAGATATCAGGGAGACTAGACATGGACAAAGCGGATGAAATATCCATTCAGTCTATGTCTTGATATGTTTAAAGATGTTAAATCAGTTGGAATGGATATGCCATTAAATGCTTCACTTTCCAGCTGGTTGGTTTCCAGAGACATGCTCATATTTGATTTGTTTTTATTGACTGTAGGATTGACTCATATGGACTGAGACGAGTAGAATAGTTATTTGCTCCCAGCAAAGTCACTCTTCTCATGTCACATCAAGTTAGTCAAGTATTCAGCGCGATTGGTTTAAACTTTGAATGTCGAGGTCTGCCTCATTGTTTATAATGATAAAGATGAGTGCTTTTAGAACTGCTAATATATAATATGGTTCAAAGTGACTAGTGTGCAAGGGAGAGGAAAGGCAATTAAATGTGGTGCTGGAGTTTGGATGCATGCTAAGAAATCACTTACTTGTCCACACTGTACAAAGGATGTGGTGAAAATACTTAACACGTGTTTTGTTTCTTCACAGGGTGTTCTGTGTTTCTGCACAACATTAGCACAAGCTCTTCCCTAAGCCTTCTCTCTGGCCAGTGTTATGGCTGCGATTTATTTTCTGTTCATTGTGATCTGTAAGCTTCAACAATCTGATAAAGTAGTTAGTATAGATGGATCATGAGTGTGGAGTTTACTGAGAAGTGGAGAGATTTGATATCACTCACTGGCTAACTAGTGAAAATAAGAAGCTGTATTCCACTGCTATCACTTTCTTTTGGCTTGACTTGGATTGAAATTGTATTTATTCTGTTGAAGTTTTTTAAACGTAGTGGTTGAACGATATGGATTTTCAATGGCCAATGCCGACATTTCGAGAGCACCACTGCCAATGGCTAAGTAATGTTGACATCATAATGTTTTGGGGTGGTTATTATTTTATTTTTTTTGCATCTGATAAAATACAAAAATGAAATGACAACAATTTAGACATAAAATGTATGTACTTTTACTATACTGAAATTTATTTAACACTTTAAAAATACATGGTAAGTATTTGGGTTAAAAATAAAACAAAGAAAAGTCACCTATAATTCCATGAACGTCTAATATACATAGTTATTTTAGCCAGTGACATACTGTCTTATATGGAATTTTTATTAAATTATGACCTAGGGAAGTACATGGGGCTACTGTAGATTTCAGAACATGACTGGAATTTAAGGGAGAGCGGGGTACTGTATGTCAGAAGCAACATCATTCAACTACATTATTCTATCCATTGTAATGTAATAAAAAAATAAAATAAAAAATATATATATATATGATGTTTTTAGATTAGATTTGCTTTCATTTCGGATGAGAGAAATGTGTTAACATTTAGAGAAGACTATGGTGGGTGCATGAGTTATAGTACAGGAGTCGAAACTAACATTTTCACCACCTTCCCAAAGCTAATATACAATGGTTTTTGGAGCCCTGTAAGGAAGTTTAGCTGGTTGAAGTTATTCACATTTTCTAACTAAAAGGCCAGAGCCAATCTAATTATACAGACGATAAACTTATACATTATTAAGAGTGACCACTAAAATAATGAGCTTTGAAAGCTAGGGATTTTTAAGTCTTAGCGTTTTCCCTCAGGTAACATTACATCCAGCATTTGTTTCCCGCTGTTTCCCGCTGTTTCACAGTACTCACTGATGTCTGGTTGAATGGTGAAATTGACACCAGGGGGAGCGCTAACATCGGTCCACAGCATAGACTCCATAGCAACCGCACTGACAGCTTCCTGCAGACTTTTTTGTGTAATCGGCCTCATGAGCGCAGGCATCAGTCGGTCAATGTCTCAAAATGTCTGATAATTGGCCCAATTAATCAGTTGACAACAACTTTTAGGTTCTGAGATTTTATCGCCTGAATAACGGTTCTCTCTACAGTCATGGAAAGGGATATTTTTGTAATTACCATTTGTGCCTTATTGATGTATCTGTTGATGCTTCCTTTTGATATTAGTCACCTATTCAGTGCCAATTTGAAATAAAGTGTTCATTAGTTCAACAATTTTGTATTTTATGAGGAGGTAGTGTGTCCTTTTCAAAAGTAGACGGCAAACAAAGGTAAGTATTTGGTATTTCAACACACCCTCCATCACCCCAGGGAAAGGCAGGTACATCTGCACAAAATAGAAGCCCTTCATGTGGTTTGTAAATGACAAATTAATGCTTACATTCCACTTCAGAAAAGATATTTTTGATGCTATAAATAAAATGTCACTGAGTGTGTTTGTGACCTACTGTGCATCTAATATATCCAGACCTCAGCAGAATCTGGATAAATGGATGTGCTTTCGATCTGTTAAGGTAAGAAAATAATATATACGTTGGTTTTGGGTGAATTGTTCCTTTTAAAGACTCCTCGCGAGGACAGATGGTTTTTGATTTGTGCTGCTTCAGTGCCCTCTTGTGGCCAGAGAGGGATAGTACTATAGTGAACTTGAGCAAGGTTGATTCTGTGCTTAAAATTACATTTTCAACATTTTAGATTTTAAAAAGGCGCTACAAAGTGGAGATAATGGAAAATTGGGATAATCCAAATAAAACGTATGAAAACATGCAACTGAGCCAGTATCAAAACTACACCAAATATAATCAGGACATGAAACACAAAGAGTATAGGTCATACAAATGCAGGCCCAGTCTGGGTGGGTTGGGGGGGAATATTGCACCATTGGTGCTCATTCCATTAGTTCAATGTTCATTGAGCATTTCTGTGCCAGAGGGGTTTCGACCATAAGTCCATCCATCCATCATCAACCGCTTATCTTGCGTACAGGGCCGCGGGGGCTGGAGCCAACCCCAGCCGACATCGAGCGAAAGGCGGGGTACACCATGGACCGGTCGCCAGTCCGTCGCAGGGCTCGACCAGAAGTTACCTCCACAACTGACAGTCCTGACCTACCATTTCCTCTGTGTTTCACTTTTTGTCTTTTCACTATGCAACTTGTGACCTATAGCTCGGGCTTGTCCTTTTGGTATTGCAGCCCTGTGCAGTTGCACTGTTGGAGATGATTTTCCCAACATAGGCTAGCCTATTTGTTCTATATGTTAGAAAAGGCAGCTTAATATTGACGATTAATTAACTTTGCACTGGTATCTCTGGTATCTTTTACCCATGTATTTTATTTACATGTTGCCTACATATTTTATAGTTATTGTCATACCTGTAGGATAAATGTCTGAAAATATATGTAATTTGGTCGCTGTATACATGTAGGCCTACTGTTGAAATCAAACCAGCAATGCCCTTTTTGAGGACACTGAAATTGTTTATGACCCTACATCTGTGTAATGAGCCCTTTTCCATCAAGTCCAATGCCACAAACTGAACGCAGTAGTGTGATGCCCCTCCCCATGTCTTGGAGGTTGTCCTGGCCAACATAAGCAAGCAATTGGCTGACTCTGAAGGGTCGTCAGCTGATTGCGTTCACCTGGGCCCGTGGGCCATAAAAGCTGGCCCATGTATTCAACTCTCTTTCTCCGTTCCATGCAGTTTAGGCTACATCTATGCTGTGGTGCCTTGTTTTGCACTTCTGTTTATTTTAGTTTAATAAAAATATAATAAAATAATATTATAATATTAATAAATTAATTTAAACAAATGAGTTTGATTTAAGGAAGTACCTTGCGTGGATTACCATCTTTGTTACATTCACTGAGCCAGGTTGTGACAGTAGCATTTGCTTTAGTGATTTAAAAGCACGAGAATTACATTTTCCCCACAGAACCTGAAGGCAGCATTCAGTGCATGGGAATGACGTAAACACAATTTTTCACAACGTTTTTCATTAATTTTATTAACACATTTCATTGCCTTTTACAGCCTAAACTAATTACATTAGTGGATGGATGTTTATGATTTTTTATTAGAAATCAAAAATTTAATAAACACGTATTGCGTTGTATGACGTATGGGTTCAAAGGTCTGAAATACACGCCCACATTTACTTCCCGCATGGTGGACTGGTGCGACGTTGTTGTGCATTTTGTTCCGAAGTAAACACAGCCATACCTGTCTATGTATATGTCGTTTTTTTCTCGTCTTTGAAACAATGAAATAGATGTCCGACGCCGGAAGATATCCTTAAACGAAACTCTACTCTTGGACAGAAAGCTCGTTAGCTTGTTGTGCTAACTAACGTTAGCTAGCAGTGCTACTTGCGAAGAATGAAGACTTCTAACGGTAACACCAGTATCATGGACATGTTTGAAAATGGAAGAGTCCTGAAAATATGTGCCCCGATGGTTCGATATTCAAAGTAAGCGGAATCTATGCCATTTCTATAATTATATTGGTAGCTATTACTTTAATTATTTGACAGTACTGAAGTGCATGAAATTCAATGGGAAAGCACTAGGTTATATACATATAACGTTACGGTTAAGCATGAAGTGTTTAATTAAGTGCACTTATCTTTTGCCTGAAACATGAGACGTACTGTAGGTACAACTACCTGTATTGTGTGTCTGTTGCACACTGTGCTCATAGTATTTCCCCTATAGGCTTGCATTCAGGTCCCTGGTGAGGAAATACAACTGTGATATCTGCTTCACCCCAATGATAGTTGCTGCTGACTTCATGCGATCTGTCAAAGCCAGAGACAGTGAATTCACCACCAATGAGTGTGAGTAGCAACATTGCAATATGACCTGTAACAGTGTAATCCCAGTATGTCTTGCTGCACCACCACTTCTAATGCACAACATCTTTACACAAAAGGGTTACAAGTTTTGATTACCATTGTTTATTTGTCCTTCTCCTCCTCAGGTGACCGGCCCCTGATAGTGCAGTTTGCTTCCCATGATGCCCAGACTCTGGCTGATGCGGCTTGTGTGGTAGCACCTTTCTCAGATGGAGTTGACCTTAACTGTGGCTGTCCCCAAAGGTGCAACTACTGACAGTAGGCCCTGATACATGTTGGCCTCAGGTCACTTTTTATTGCTTTGTTATTTCAGCATCTTGATTTTTATAGTCTAAAGCCCACAGTTTGTTTGACTTTAATTAATTTATAATCAAAAATCATATGTTTCTGTTTTCATTGTTATTTTGAATATACATAAGTGATGGATCATTAGACAAAAATCTATTAAACCCTGTGTCCCCTGACCATGCTTGCAAATCTTTAAGATTTTTTTTTATCTAGGTTATTTGATTAGTTTTGTTGTTGTGTTTTCAGATGGGCTATGTCAGCTGGGTATGGTGCATGCCTCATCAACAAGCCTGAACTTGTGAAAGACATGGTCAGACACGTCAGAAACCAAGTGGACAATCCAAACTATACAGCATCTATCAAGATAAGGTACAAAATCTGAACCAGTCGGACATTTTACTAGAGCTAGACCGATAATCTGTGAGGCCAACATTAGCTTATTGCAGATATATCAGTCAGTACTTGTGCTAATGTCGGCTAATAAATAACACATTGCAGGACAGAAATGCCAAAAGAGTTTGTCCACCAGAGAGCACTCATGCAATAAAAATAATAATAATGGCAATATGTAACAGTAATAAAGAAATTTGCTTCACCCACAGAATTCACAAGGACCTGAGGCGAACAGTGGATCTGTGCCAGAAGGCTGAATCAGCCGGTGTATCATGGATAACAGTCCACGGCCGAACATCAGAAGAACGGCATCAGCCAGTCCATTATGACGCCATAAAGACAATCAAAGACAGTGTATCCGTCCCTGTTATTGCCAATGGAGACATAAAGTACCTCCGAGATGTGGAGTCCACTCACCGGCTTACTGGTGTTGATGGTACGTTTGTTTTCATGAAATTGAACAAGTACACATGTATGACTTATGCATGAATTGCAGTATTCCTTTTAAATTTGTAAATTTCTTGTTTGTTTGGATTTACTTATTAGGTGTGATGGCTGCACGGGGTTTGCTTGCTAACCCGGCCATGTTCACCGGCTACGAGGATACTCCTTTGGAGTGTATATGGGACTGGGTGGACATCTCTGTAGAACAGGGCACTCCATTCACCTGCTTCCACCACCATCTTATCTACATGCTGGAGAGGGTTAGCTCCCAGCCTGAGAGAAAAGTGTTCAATTCTCTATCTAGTACCTCAGCTGTAATAGATTACCTCCAGAACACATATGGGTCAGTGCATGATCTAGGAACATAAGCATATTGAAATGTGATGCATTTGATTTTAGCTTTTTAAAATTAAATTTTTATGCCAAATAAAACTACCAAACTCTAATTGTATTGCTGATGTATGTCTTCTTTATTGCTATATCCTCTCCAGTAAAGCCTTGACAAAAAACAATTGTGGAACAATTTAGACTATTATAATACATATATTTGGTTACCTAAACCAAAGAGGTTGTGTTTTTGGTTTATTTGTCTGTCAGTAGAATTACAGAAAGTACTGGCCTGATTTTCATGAACCTTGGTGTATGGGTGTATCATAGGCCAAGGAAGAACTCATAGAATTTTGGAGTGGATACCAATCACAGGGTGGATACACAAATTAAGTTTCACTTTCACTAATAATGCTGGATGGTCAGAAGTCTGCACTCTCTGAGTATCCTTTCTCTTAATTATTGTCTTAAACAGTAAGTATAGCATACTGAGGATTGAGCTAGTTAGGATTTGTTTGTTTTTTTTGCTTCTTTGCTCTCCTTCATTTACCACCACTGAGGTGCCCTTGAGCAAGGCCCATAACCCCAACCGCTACAGTGGAGCTGCTCAGTGGCCAGCAGACCAGGCTGCGGTTGAACTGGGCAGCTTCCAGGTGTGAATATGTAACTGTGTGATTGTGATCAGGGCCTACCTGCAAATGAGAAGTATCTCTCAGTGAGGCTCCCTGAATAAATAAAGGTAAAATAAAAAACATGGGACTGTAGCTGCACACACACAGAGATCACAATCATTTCGATCATACTATTGTATACATAGTGTAGTAGTTGCACACCCAAACATATCACAATCATTTTAACAATAACAATAATATATAACAAAGCGCTTCGAATAAATAGACCGGAAGCACTGCCATTGTGCCTGCAAAGTAAAGTCGAAATTTGTTCTAGTTAATACCGAAGAACTTACATTGTTACTACTAGACCAGTTTAAAAACAACCATGTATTTCCATATGAATAGAAATGGCATATTAACGTTTGATAAAACATACTAACGAAAAACGATTAAATTAACTTATATTAAACATCAACATAATCTTGGAATTAGTTTAATTTTGACAGGTAAGACCGGAAGCTTTACACGAGCTGCTGGAACCAACAACGTTGCAACAGGAAGAGAGAGGCAGACTGGCAAACTTTGCTCTGGTTGATTTCACAAGTTAACTAAAGTCTCTTTCAGGCAGTATTTAGGCAGTTTGTTGGTAAGTTTTGAGTCTTTATCCCTGAATTGTGACACGAGCTTAGATACTTCGTGACGTTGCTATTTTTATTACGTTTACAGTAACTAGTTAACCTTAGCTTAACGTTAGCCATTTCAAAATCGCTCACGTTAGGAAAACGTTAGCTTTAAGGTAACGTTACGTTAACGTTTGTTCAGTTGTGTCATCGGAGCATTGTATTTATGATTTTGAACGCGGACGGACGATGAAAAAAGCGAAATGTTTAAAAGCATAAGTATGTGTTATGGATATTGGCCTCTTGTAAGTGTCGATGGCGAAATGAAGGTCCCGAAGCATTAACGTTATTGCTTTCCGATACAGTTGTGTCGAAATTGGTTTTAGTCCTCGAAGCTTTATTCAGAAAATGCATAACGTTAATGCAACAAAGCTGACAACCACAAAATGCTATTCTGCAAATATGTTAATGCCAAACTCAGAAGAAAATATATTGCACTGATTGGTTGCTCTTTTACAGCATGAGATGCACAACATTGCGATTTCAGCGTTAATTTTAGTGTTGAATCTACCACCTGTCTCTCATATTTTGGCCCTAAAATTCACTAGGAGAAATAGGTGAAGCAAAGCAATTAGCAGCAGGAAGGGACTCAAGGGACAGCAACTCTGCCACTTCACCATCTACCTGCATGTTTGATGAACGATTGGCTTTAAATATAGTACAATTTTCCTTCACTTCAGAAAGGTAGAAATATTATATTTATCATAGGTCGTCAAAATTTTACTCAAGTGAAGGTACAAAAGTATTCCATAGTGAATGTACTTACAGTATATCACAAGTGAGTACACCCCTCACATATTTGATTATATCTTTTCATGTGACAACACTGAAGAAATGACACTGCTACAATGTAAAGTAGTGAGTGTACAGCTTGTATGACAGCGTAAATTTGCTGTCCCCTCAATAATACATCACACAGCCATTAATGTCTAAACCGCTGGCAACAAAAGTGAGTACATCCCTAAGTGAAAATGTCCAGTGGGCCCAAAGTGTCAATATTTTTTGTGGCCACCATTATTTTCCAGCACTGCCTTAACCCTCTTAAGCATGGAATTCAACAGAGCTTCACAGGTTGCCACCGGAGTCCTCTTCCACTCCTCCATGACGAAATCACGTAGCTGGTGGAAGGTAGAGACCATGTGGTCCTCCAGCTTCCGTTTGAGGATGCCCCACAGATGCTCAATAGGGTTTAGGTCTGAAGCCATGCTTGGTCAGTCCATCGCCTTTACCCCCAGCTTCTTAAGCAAGGCAGTGGTCATCTTGGTGTATTTGGGGTCGTTATCATGTTAGAATACTGCCCTGCGGCCCAGTCTTCGAAGGGAGGGGATCCACTCTGCAACAGTATGTCACAGTACATGTTGGCATTCATGGTTCCCTCAATGAACTGTAGCTCCCCAGTGCCGGCAGCACTCATGCAGCCCCAGGCCATGACACTCCCACCACCATGCTTGACTGTAGGCACGACAAACTTGTCTTTGTACTCCTCACCTGGTTCCCGCCACTCATCATCTTTAGAAGATGCTTCCTTCTGGGTTGACAGCCATGCAGACCAATTTGATGCAGTGTGCAGCATATGGTCTGAACACTGACAGGCGGACCCCCCACCCCTTTAACCTCTGCAGCAATGCTGGCAGCCCTTACATCTATTTTCCAAAGACAAGCTCTGGATATGACGCTGAGCACATGCACTTCTTTGGTCGACCATGATGAGGCCTGTTCTGAGTGGAACGTGTCCTGTTGAACCGCTGTATGTTCTTGGCCACCACTTTCAGGGTCTTGGCAATCTTCTTATAGGCTAGGCCATCTTGATGTAGAGTAACAATTCGTTTTTCCAGATTCTCAAAGACTTCTTTACCATGAGGTTCCATGTTGAACTCCCAGTGACCAGTATGAGGGAGTGTGAGAGCGATAACACCAAATTTAACACACCTGCACCCATTCACACCCATTCACACCTGAGACCTTGTAACACTAATGAGTCACATGACACTGGGGAGGGAAAATTGGAGCTAATTGGGCCCAATTTGGAAATTTTCACTGAGGGGTGTACTCCGTTTTGTTGCCAGCAGTTTAGACATTAATGGCTGTGTGAAGTGTTATTTTGAGGGGACAGCAAATTTACACTGTTATACAAGCTGTACGCTCACTACTTTACATTATAGCAAAGTGTCATTTCTTCAGTGTGGTCATATGAAAAGATATAATCAAATATTTACAAAAATATGAGGGGTATTCTCACTTTTGTGAGATACTGTATCAAAATTCTGGATGACATTGTTGTATCAAAGTTCTTGCTTGCATTCAGTCCTTAATGAATAAGTGTTGAGTTTTTATTCAGGAATCGAATTTTCTCCACAGTCTTTGGTGACATTCGATTTCTTAAAAAACAACTTAAAAACCAGCTTTGAAGAATAGTCTCTCGCACACAACAACAAATACTACGGTTTCTCCATGGTTTGGCTTCAGTTTTATGAAAATAACGCCCTCCAAGATTCATATCTGTCAAACCCAGAGTGGCCTGTCAAAGCAGTCATTTTTTTCACTACCTGAGTGAACCAGTGTGTTTGCTTCAGACGTCATTTTAACGTCACTAGTGATGCAATGACACAAGCTCTGAAGCAGTGGTTTGTTGAAAGGACTTCACAAGTTTGAAGCAAGCATCGGAGCTTCCGTGTCAGACGTAACAACACTACTTATAAGCATGAATCCCTCTTCTAAGTTATTTGTTGTCAATATAGACAGGATGTCACATAACGTTATTGCTTGTGGTGGCTCTGTAACTAATTAGGTTACAATAACGCGATTTTGACCAAGTTAACGTTAACTTTTAACCTTTGCTGAGCTAACCTTTGCAATCTTTCGTTAAGCCATGTGAACTGTGAAAGGAGTGGCCGAATGGTTTAAGTAACGTTAACTTAATCATTTTTATCTTAGCAGAGGCTAAATATTTTTCATACACTTTAGCTAAACCTTCCGACTATATTGATGAGCTTTATGTTCCTTATGGTTTTTGTTTTCTTTGTATGTCAGAGAGGCTGGCCAGTTTTACCTGTTATTCTGCAAGCTTTCATTTCTACCTTTGTCAGGTTATCTTCAGAGGCCCTCACTTGAGATGACGCTCCAATGGACTGCTGTAGCCCTCTTTCTCTATGTGGAGATCGGTATTCTTGTCATTCTCTGTTTACCCTTCATCTCAGCCAGGAGGTAAGTAACAGTTGCTGAGAATCATGTGTGTGTCAGGTTTGTACTGCCACAACATGGTTGTATAATCAGTACAAGAACAACAGAGCAAAGGCTGTGCGTTGCTGTGACAAATACACTGTAAATTTTGGGGATCTTGTTTGGTGATTGTATGTTATGTAATGAGTGAGTTACTGACACTCTGTTACACACTGATTGTTTTTAAATGACTGCGATTATGTGTGTGTCTGTGTGTGTGGTTGCAGGTGGCAGAGTATTTTCCAATTGAGGATCTGGAGCTGTCTGGCGAGGTTCTGGAACAAAATGTTTCTCACTATGATCATTGTACTTATTGTTCTCTTCCTTGGTAAGTAAAACAGAGTTGCACACCCGCTTACTTGAGATTGTGAGCTAGAGGGCCGTATGACTGGGGGCATTAGAAAAAGTGTAACCTTTTGGTTATTACTCATTGTTTACATGTTTTTTTTTTTTAGATGCTGTGCGTGAGGTGAGAAAATATTCAGCTAAAGAACTTGGCACAGATGCCAAGCTGCAGCCGAACATGTTTGATCACCTGCACATGAAGCTTTTCAGAGCCCAGAGGAACCTCTACATTTCTGGCTTCGCTGTCTTCCTCTGGTTGTAAGTGTTTGCTCTTTATTATGCTGATATACGGATCAAAAAAGAAATCAGGAGATTACTAATTAATGAAAATAAGTTAGATCTATCTTGCATTAGGCCTTTCTCCAACCCTTGTTATTTCATTATCTCTTTGCAGGGTTATGAAGCGAGTGGTCACCTTGATTAACCAACTGGCATCAGTGTCTGGCATTACGGCTGCTCTTCAGGCGCAGGCTGACAGTGCTAACCAGGCCGCCAAGAAATACATGGAAAACAATGAGATGCTGAAACAGGTAGGCTCCACGTTGGTTGGGTCAAGACTCAACATAAGACACTTAATAAATCTGACAAACTAATGGCCTCAGACTCTACTATTAAATGATTACACTGATTTGTATGTAGCTCACAAATAAAAGTTCAAATTTTAATGTCAGATTTTTTTGTTGCATTTCTTGCTAATCATTTTGAATCCGCTCACTGGTTTATCACGATTGCATTTAAACTCGGATAGGCAGTTGATCACATCTTCAGTTAATTCCAGTGCACCTTTTAAAGGCAGACACCATCTATAATACTTCTGTTTGTGACCCTTATCTACCAAGCCCTCACACTTGATTTGTTTCCCCTCAACCTCAACCACCTCTAGATGTGAATACACACTCTGAACATTTTACATCAGAGTTACACATAGCTAATGAAGAGCTGTATTTCATGTAGTTGAAGTACATGTCATTTGATTTATTTCAGACTTTAATGGAAGGGAAGGGTGAAAAAGCTACAGCAGAGGGCATGGAGCTGTTGAGGAAAGAAGTGAGGAAACTGAAAGAAGAACTGAAGACCTCAGCAGATGGTTAGCTTTCAAGTACATTTACACATGCCCACTGTTATGTTTGTGTTGCTTTTATACACGTGTTAGAGCTATTTTTATATCCTCATCCCAGGAAAGTTAGATGAACTGCAGACTTTAAAACTTGTGACCTCTAGTAGCTAAAGACAGTGAGGATGCCCTGTGCTGATGATGTGTGTCTGTTTCCTCTCCAGCCCTGAAGAACTCCCAGTTAGAGGCAGATGTAATGAAGAAGCAGATGGAGGGCCTTGCAAGGGAGTACGACAGACTGTTGAAAGAACATCAAGAGCTCCAGGTGATGTTAGGTCCTAATTGCAGCAGGATAATGACTTGTTGGGTCATTCTTTACCATTTTCGGAGTGACTAATCCGGCAGGTTGGAGGCACAGCTCTTCCATAATTCACGTTTTAAGAAGTCTGTTCATTTCATCATCAGCTAAAGGCCTATTGTGCTATTACAATATTGCAATATGTTTTGTTGTTAGTTGTGTAATGGATCGTAGTTGGTTCGTGATCCCCCACCACCAGCCCACGATTTGACACGCAGGTGAACCATGGATTTATTGCAAAGTTAAACCATTGTAGAGTGAAAAACTCCAGTCTCTTTGCCCCTCTGTGGCACAGCAGCTTTCAGTGTTGATAGGCTAATACTCTAATGATACTAATGATGTGTAACCAATCAAATAGTGCTGTGGGTGGGACATTGAGAGACTACAGACCAATAAAACTAATTTAACCCTAATTTTTTTTCCCTGCTGATCCAAAAAATTATCCGATTTGTGACTCAAAACCACGGTATTATCCGAACCACGAGGTTTCTGATCTGTTGCACCCCTATTTGTTGTTGAGACACTGAACACAGAGGTTATAAGTACTAGTGAAGAACAGCAAATCCCATTAATTTCCAGGGTCTCAAATAAAGAAACAATGAAATAACATAGCAACTGACACTTTCTTTTCATTTTTGTTGTCTTTCCAGAATCTTCAAGACAGTGGAAACAAAAAGAAGGACTAGTTGTCGTAAAATCCTGAAAGGTCGAAGTGTTTACACAGCAACCTGGCCCCATCATTAGAAAGCCACTGGAACACATGCTTTACCTTCACATAACGCCTTGCATCACAGCGCATGTCACAAAACCAGGAGGTACAGAGTTTGAGTGATATCAGTCATGGTTTTAATGCATGCAGGTGAATTTTTATTAGGGCACCAGACTGGTTTAAATGGAGCAAGTAATATTAAACATTTTTCTGCTTCTGCCTAGCACAGTATGACAAAGAGGATTGCTTTTTAAGTGCACACTCTATAAGGCAGATGAATTGTGCAAGGTAATTGGAGAGAATTCAGTCAGTAATCAACCCAGGTCGGATCACAGTGCACTTAATATGTTAAAGAAATATACAACAAGGACAGGTGTTTAATGATTTTGTGTCATTTGTTTTAGCCAGGTGCACAGCGTAGAGCGCAAGACTCTTAGAGCACTCTCTGTGGTGTGCACAACTTTGAATGTATTTTGATACAAAGGGTTTGTTTCTTTATTGCTGTATGTAGCAGGAATACCTGCTTCACCCACTCTGAGCTTATCAGCGGTATGTAAATTCACTCTGTGCTTGCATGACTGTGCAAATACAGTTTGCATGTACAGTTGCAGTTAGACAAATCTTCCTAACAGGTTTTTTTTTGTATTCCAGCTGATGAGTTTTTTAAACTTAGGATGTAGTGGTGAATGATAGTGGTTGAAGGTTTCCACCATCCAGCGCTTTTCTTTTGTTTTCCACCTTATTTTGAACAAGAAAATGTATATGCAAATCTGATATAATGTATCTGTGGATATAAATAACACACAATATCTGTAGGGATAGAAAAATGGATTTAACCACTTATGATCTTACTTAAGCTTTAAAATGAAAAATATTCAATCTGGGTCAAAAACAGAAGTTAAAATATATATTGTGTATGTTTCTGAGCCATAGGAGGTCCAGATTGTTGTATATTTCAAGTATTCATTCATTTCATTCATTTTGGGTTAGTGTGAGAGTTGGACTGTACTCATGATGAAAAGGGCCTGTATGTTTTTTCTTATATTTCCGGTATCCAGACAGAGCCTTGTCAGTGTGAAAGAGCAGCTTAGATTGTAATCATCAGATGTGTCAAATTTCCCCAATTTATTTTATGATAAATAAATGGCTTATTGGGTTTACCAGATACTTTCCAGGTTATAAAATTGTAAAAATACCTTCAAGTTATGGTCGGACATTAAAAAGTCCCTTAAAGTGCCTTTAAGTGGATATAGTACATTTTGTTTAATAAAGATACCGTTCTTTATGCTGTGCCTTGTTTTGAATAATTAGCACCTTGAATAAATAACACCAACACATATTGTGATTGAATATTAAAAGTTTTATTTTAGTATTACATTTAAGATATCCTTTGAAATGTTACAAAAATAATCCCAAGAAAATTATTTACATTCTGATTTATTTAATGCAAGTAAATGCGTTACCTTACTGAGATAATGACTTCCTTCCTCTATACCTCTCGCTGCTCCTCTGAGTCTGTACTTTTGGCCAGATGTGCCTGAAACTGAATCTGAATTCAAAACACAATACACTCACCACATACTTTGTTGCCAAAATGGTATATATCCATTTTAGAATTAAAGTCTTACAAAATGATAATATGCTATACATTTACAAGGACAAGGTATAAATTCTTTAAACTTTCTTGTGATACAGTTGTTGATTTATTTTACTTTGAGAAATCATTTTGACAGATCTCAAGGAAATTCAAGGTTCTGATTTTAGGATCAAGCTGTTCATTAGAATAAAATTGATAGGAAAAAACCTGAGAATAGAATGTTTCTGTTCGTAAGTTTTGGCACAGGAGCTCATGTGTGTGCAGAAATACAAAAAAAACCCCTCAAACATAACAGACTGACCAGTGCAATGTCTGGAGACATGGAACAAATACACATCAATAACGTAAATGCACATTTCCTGTGGCGATACTTCACAGACAGCGTGGCCGTTTGCCTAAAGACTGGGACAACATACAGTATATCTTTTATCAGTGTTGCAACAGTACAAATTCTGCCTCTTCCAAAGGCACAACACAAGAGCAAGCATTCCCCTCAGCCATCTGTTACAAACAAAAATGACTGTCACAATACCAGGTGAGGTGCATTGAGATAATCTTAATAATATTCAGTGTAATCCTAATTACCAGTGTCATGACACAGTCTATTATGTTGGGTATTATTGATAAAACACATTTTTCCTCAATAAAATTGAAATCAGAGCAGCCTCAGGTAGACAAACGGGTACAATCTCACTAAATTCACATCGAGAAAGTACACAACACAAACTTCTATACAATCAGACCTGACTTAGGGCTTAACGTAAAAAAGTTTTAGTCAGTCAAAAAAGCATTTGTTTTTTTCTAAATTAGTGTTAAGACTTACATTAAGTCTGAAATTTAAAAGTAAAATTAAATAGTATTCAGATAACTGTTGAAAATCGTGACAAAATTTCTCTCTGCTGACACACGTGATTTAGAGGTAACTGTTGAGTGAATGAGGCACATACGTCAAATCAACAAATGCCAAGCCCTCAAAAGTCACTGAACAACCAGTTTGTCTTTTCTATTTTAAGGTTCAGTGTGTAATATTTGAGAGGATCTATTGACAGAAATGCAATATTTTATACATAATGTTTTCAGTGATTTATAAAGACCTTACATAATGAACCCTTATGTTTTTATTACCTTAGAATGAGCCATGTTTTCGGCACTACTTTGAACACACATGAAGAAGAAAAAAAAGAAGTAGTAGTCGTTTGGTTTGTTACAAGTAAGAAAATAAGAGAAATTTGGACCACACGTATTATTTAGCACAAGAGCCGACAGAGTGTCAGCCACCGTAGCTTCTCCTATGCGCTTGCAAAGGGAGCGGTGAGAGAGATATCAGTTGTAATTTGCAACCCTTGCCGCTAGATACCAATAAAACTTACACACTGAACCCTTAACATTCAGAAAAGAAATCCTCACTTCCTGTCTCTTTGAAGGGCCAATTTTCCTGGTCTTTATTGATTTTTTGTTTAAATGTAGTGACGTGCCTCTGGTTCATAAGGCCACTTATCATCTTCTGTTCAGGAACAGTGATGTCAGGAAGAAAAAAATGTAAAAATAAAAATCCAAAGAGGCCGCTTTACAGGTGTTTAATTTTTTTTTTTTTTTAAAGAATAATGCTATTTTTTGCAGTAGCCTGTACAATCACATTTCCCATCTAATCTCTTTCCCCACCATGAAAACAGAAAAATATTGTTATACTTTTCTTTATAAAGGATTAACAGCATGTACATTCAAGAAATATTTCAGTGATATCAAATTTATGTCAAATTCGTAAAGCCTTCACAGGTCCAGTAGTACAAATATAGAATTTATGCTTCGAGATGATTGGATACAACATGTGATTCCCTGCAAATCTCATTTGTGTGTGTGTGTGTGTGTGTGTGTGTTTGCATGCGTGCATGCATGTATACAGTATCACTCTGTACACACTGGGTGTATCTGTAGATGTGTGAAGGAGAAAGGGGTAGGGGGGAGCTCTGCTGGATCTGTCACAGCCGTGTCTCCCTGTAAGCGCAGTTGTCTGACGTTTGTTGAGATTGGTCAGAATTAGAAATCACAAACTCCTCCTTCCTGAGCGCCTCCAGCTCTGTTCCGCCATTGGCCAGAGCTCCGTGGATGGCATTTATTTCCTCCTCCTTCAGCTGTCGGCTGAGCAGAATGAAGCCCGGGATGCAAATAATGAACGAGATAGTCCTCAGGCTCAGAGTCAGACCCAGGTATGCTATCCTGAGAAATGAAGATGTAAAAAAAGGTACAATTGATTTGGCAAATGGGTAATTATACAAGACTCCTCAGTCTTGTATAATACGACAAATACAAACGAGATGGGAAAACAAACTTCCATTTTGGGGGTCAGAGAGGAAAATAAGTAGTAGTGTACAAATGGAGTGGTTGATGCTGCAATTCACCATTCAACATTGTTCAACATGTTACTGAACCATGTCAGAAAAACAATAATAATAAGTAAATAATGACTGGTTTGTTAAATTGCTAGAATACATGAAAATAAATATTGGCACTGTAACACATCTTTTAAAGCTACAAGCAGCATAATTTGACTTGGTGGCCTCTTCAATGGTTTTTCACATGAGATATCAGAGAGGCAGAAGATAGTTCACATAATTTAGGATGTGAACAAGTACAATCTTACCATAGAGTCATTTTTGTTTTTTTTAAATCTATAATTGTTTAATGGTGCCACTTTGTAAAAATGTAAAGTATCCAAAATGTCATATTAGCAGTTCTTGTTTGCATTGCATGGATGTAATGACGTCTGTCACTGAATTACTTTGAAACTTAAAAATATGATGATTCTGGCTCTGAAATTATAAGAAGACTCTTTAAAAATGAAAATGAAAATCTTTTAAAATGAGATTTCTAAGCAGATATATGGGCGTTTATTTGCATCGGAGATTGAGGACGATGATCTCGGGAAGTTTAAGCTACATACATGTTTTTTAAATTCATTGTATCATGTCTGCGAATTCAGATTGAACCAAGTTATGACTGAGGAATATAAATTCTCAGCACATTGCTGCAATCTGGTGATAGAGGAAAGTACAAATTCTTTTCCCTGCCTATTTCTAATTGATATAACAAAGATAATTTAGCATCAATTTCTTATACTTCTTAAAACAGAATAAGAAGCATTTGTTGGTTGCTGTTTGCAACAAAGAAACAAAAATTACTGTTGTAAACTATACAAGAGGATGGCTCATATTGGCTTGAATGCTAATTAGGACCACATTTAATAGACATAAAAAGAGGTCAGGCTTAAATTTATCCTTTGTCTCAAATATATAGCAACCTCTAAGCGCTCAAATTTCACAATGTGCAAATTTTTGAAAGTCATTGCCACATAAAATATAACAACGTCTGAGCCAGAAGTAGACAGATACTAAAAATGAAAGCTCCACATAACTCCGATTGGCTTGTTCTGAAGGTGAGTACTACCTGTAGGCAGTGGTGTTGTAGATTCTGCAGGCTCCTATGCCTCCACACCTCTTCTGACCCCATTTTAGACATGTGGTGTCAATGATTGCTCCAAAGTAGATGGGTGCTGGGATCCCTGCTGTAGGACCAAAAACATAGTTTCACAACCACATCCCCCAGAACTTACACACAACAGGCTCAAACAGTGACATTTTGGAGTGTTTCAGATTGTTCAAGTGACAGGAAAGTTTGCATCTGAGCCATGAGCCACTTGAACATGCTCGAAATGGGGATATATTTTGAAAGAGACATACCAAGAGTACGTGTTGCCAGAGCATGGAAACCCAAGGCCAAAGATTTCAGCTGTGGTTTGATGCACCTGCATGAAGAAATATTATTAGAAACTGATTACAAAATGTCTACAGCACAAAACAACTTGTTCAAGATCAGTCAGGTTCTATACAGGTTCTATAGAAAGAGACTTAGGGAGAATGAAGCAGTGCTATCTCGTGTCTGTGGAAGGTGTGTCTCTGTGTTAAGTGGCGTGTCAGCCAGCAGAGGGTGCTGTGATACAGAAGAAGCAATCTAGTACACAACACATGATTTTTGGGCTGGACAACATGTATACTATGTACTCCAGTGTGATACCTATAGTAAAATCCTAAAATGTTTGTATTTTGTTAACAAGATTATGTCTATTTTTTTCATTTACATTATTTAAAACATAGCTGTTGTGTGTACATGAGTCAGACTGGTTGGGCCTGGGCCCACCTGCCAATTAAAAAAAACATTGGTGTGCAGCAGCTGGCAGGGGGAAAAAAAAATCTATGCTTGTTCTACAGGGGCCCTTTGTATTATCAGTGGAGGCGTCAGAGTGAACACCCCCTAATAGCCTATTTGCCATGAATTGTATTCTCTACTTATTCATCTGTATGAAACAATGAATCCAAGAGGACTTGAAATGCATTAGCAGCTAATTGAGCTAGTAAACCAGAAAGAGTTACTCCAAACTGTAAGTCACACAGATTAGACTTTCATTTACTAATATTGCTGCTCTGACTGAAAATGTTCCTTTTCAGAAATTAATTCCATTGATGACTAACAGCATAATTAGAATCACAACAATGTAGAACAGCCAGTTTCTGGCCAGCTAGCCAAGATTTTCCTCCATCTGACCAACACACAACGTGTCACACATGCTGTGCACAAAAAGCCGCATCTCTGTCATGCTAATTTGGCATTTTCTTTCACTTGGCCCTTTTTTCAGTGCAATCACAGGATATCAACCAATTGTCTCGCAATCCTCTTTGGGAGAAATAAGTGGGACTTGCACTGTCACAACCCCATTTCTTTTATATCAGAAGGGCCACACACAACATTGCTGATTCCGTTTTGAGGAACTTAGCATTCTGCAGCAGCTTCTCACAGCATCATATTCTATAACTTACAAGGCAATATAGGAGATTTCTAAAATACCTGCTGCTAAATGAATTCTAATTTTTTGTTCAACTCACCTATGTTTTTAGAAATGGATGGCTATTTTCACAGCTGATAATGCTCTCAGGAGCATATCATGGTTGTCAATTACTGTTAGGAAATGCGCAAGTCAACAAGACAATAGTAGCTTTTCCCTGACCTTATTTATTGAAGTAGATTGGCCTTCAAGGATTTAAGTGATTCTCAGTTAACCATGTCACCCTACCCAGTACCATCATGTTATGGGACGAATATCCTGTCATATTTCAAAACTGAATATAAAAAGGTTCAAAAGGTTGAAACTCAGTGTTTGAAAGCTTGAAATCTCATAAATAATTGATTTAAAATAAGCTTTGAAGGCCTGCATAATGTTTTGGTAGGTTGAAAAAGAAATCTCTGCAAACATTTTTTTGATATCTGAGTTTTCCTCCTTCAACTGCAGCCATTTGTGTTTCTCCAACACATTTTCAGTTTGACTATTCCCCAGTTTATTAGTTTGTTTTCAAGGTTTGAACCCATGTAAACCTTTCAAAGCTTTCTTTTCACTTTTGAAATGATATTCATCCCACATAATATCAACAGATTAAAACCCCAAGAAATCATATGATTGGAAACAGACTATTTTGTTTGACAAACCCACTGTTTATTTTTGTGACACAAAGACACATGTAAGTCAGCTATAAATGGCCCAAATCATTGTCTCTGAATTCTTTGATCCTGAAGAAAGCACAATAAAAATATCCACTTCCCAAATCAGGTAGACATAAGGTCTGGGAAAATTTCTTAGAAGTAAATAAATGTAATTAGTTAGGTTAGGGTTTTTTTCTTTTCAAAGTAACAAATCATTGAATCTGAATATGTCACTGAAGGACTCAATAACCACTGCTGCAAATACAGTACCTGTTAAGTTGAATGCCAGTTAGCATCATTTGCTGGCTACAATCTACACCCAAATTTAAGGTGCATTAGTATATCAAATGTAAAATGATTTAATATATTGAGGGAAAGAATCTTGGAAGAATCATAACATCATATGCATAACGTAGTTACTTCAAAGTCATTTTTCATTATATTTTTTAAATTTAAATCTGACCTGATTAGAAACATGTAGCCTGGTGTCCCCCCAAGGGAGATGATAAAGGAAGTGATGACAGAGAGAGCCAGGAAGTACGGGAACATTCTGTCACAGTCGTCCTTGTGAAGGCACTGACCTGTATTGGCTGTAAAGTTACCAGCCACACCAACACAGCTACAGTTATAGAAGACCTGGAGAGACACATGAAGACACACATATGTGACCATGTACAGCAGGACATAAACACATATCAACACAGCAATACATAAAGTGTACTGTATATTCAAGGATGCTGGAGAATCTTTGTTCCTGTCAGAGAGGTGCACATACTGAAAAGTGTAATAAGATTAAGGATTAGTGTTGAGCAAGGATTGAAATTTTTAATTGTGATTAATCACATGATTTTCTGCAATTGATCGCACAGTTATGCGCAAAATTGAAAAATGAATTCTTAAGTAGTGTACTGCCCACTTTTAATTTAAATGTACTGCTACATACACAAAAATGCAATAACATGTGGTTTGCAAACACTGGCAACACAAATAAGGTGCTTTTAACCAGCAGTATTCCCTTTACACAGTAGTAATAAAATATTTTTTGTAAGTCTCAACTTAAACATTAATGTAATCAAATCAAATATAAAACCAAAGCTATTTGCCATTGCCAGGGCATTACCTTTTCATCTAGCTTGTTAGTGTCCAGAGCCACGATCATAACAGGCACATTCTAAGCAACAGGGTAACATATATAAATCTGTTTCCTTGTTGTTGTTTTTTCTGAACAGGTATCAGCAGAAACATTTTTCTTTTATCAGGGAGCAGCATAAACAGTCTATGTTCAGTAGCAAGTGTTCCTGTTAACAGTTAGGCCAAAGTTGAAGTTGCTACCATTACATCAGTATTGTTATCATTTTCATCAATTCAGTTTAAAGAAAAAATGTGGCTGTGGATCCCCAGAATCATTTCTATCTTTAATAATGAATTAAAAAATAAAAGCCTAAAAAACGGTCTTAGTAATTAGAAAGTTAAGTAACTCAGAAAGGTGAATTAAATTATGACAACGTGTTTATTTTGACGGCAAATATCACAACATCAATTGTATTCTGTGGAAGATAAATAAATGCACAAGCCGAATAAATGGCCACTGTTTCCTTTTGATATGACTGCACAATAACATTAACATCTCATCAACAAAACTTCATGACAATAAAGGCGTATTTGACTGATGTGAACCTGACAAAGCTGTGCTACAGGCTAGTGGAGACGGTTCCTGCGTACTACTATGACATTTAATACTATTGTCGTGTTCTGACCTCGAAGTGAGCTAGACTAACTCAGCCTACTTCTTCTGGATGTGCGTGGGTGGAAATCACTTCACACGACAAGGAATCTCCGTTAATGAACTTTACTGAACTTCAGCAGGTGAGTACAGAGATACAGCTGTTTACTCCAGAGAAGGCAGTTATGCTGGGGTGTGGCTCAACTCGGGCACAGAACATCAGGCCATGTCAACAACGTCAAAACTCTCGCGGGATCGCGTTATGTTCTTCCTTCGTGATTATGTCACATTCCTGACCAATCAACATGCTACACTTAGCAACAAGCAACATCTTAGGTAAGGTGTGGGAAAGAAGGTAAAACTTAGCTATTATGGACTGTCTTACACTATACATATTTTTTTTTTATGTTTGAGCAACTTGTCAACTTACTGTGTTTTTTCCTGAGCCAGTAGAGCCGGTGCAGCCAGCAAGACAGGGAGAAACGTATGTGATGCCGTTCTCTCCACAGACTGGGTCCCAGTCACCCGCTGAACAAAAACAGTCGGAGTTGCAGGCTGTGAACACTGAGTGCTTATCATAGGATATCGTATCCATGCTAGAAGGACGAGAAAGCATAAATGAGACGCAATTACTTTTTATGCCATTACACTGGATATTCAATTTGTCATCGCACACATAAGTTTACGTTGAAATGCTTCCTATAGTTGTAATGCATTAGTAAAATAAATGCTGTGGGTTGAAGCAACATTACCAGAAGAAACTATGGGGGAAAAAAATACCTTTGAGAGAAAATAATGTAATAATGTATTCCTTGCTGGGTTTTAATTGTGTGTGCACCTATCGGCGCTGCTTTTAATCTGTTTTGTCAGCAGTGTCACTTCGGTTGTGTCTGCTGCTGAACCTGAGTTTTAACTAAATGTTGTCTGTCTACTAAATGTTGTCTGTCTAAACCTGTATCCACTCCCCCCTACCCTCAAGAGGCTACTCAACTCTTGCCAAGCCGTCCTCCTAAATAAGAAGTTGTTCTTAAGAGTCTTGCCTGGTTAAATAAAGGTTTAATAAAAATAAATAAATAAAAATAATAATTAAGACTCAGCAGTGCACTGGGCACACACGGGATGATTGCTTTGTTGGTCTGTAATCGTATTCCTGGCTGGGTTTAAGCATGTGATAACAGCAGTCTACATGTTCCTGCTTGTTCTGTTATCAGTTATCCTGTAGAAACCTTTGCCCATTTGGTGCAAATTCTGCCAAGATCCTAGTCCATATTCTCACACTTTAACTTTTTGCACACATGATTCATGATATGAAATATTAACAATCAGAAAGTTGAGTAGCATTTTGTTATTATTCCCACCCAGATGTACTGGAATGTACCGACCCTAGAAGTAATGACTTGTCTGTCAGATCAATAATTGCACTGTGTTGTGCTGAATTTAGAATAATGATGGGATCGTCTATGACTTACCTGTTGTATGAAAGTGTTACACCGGCTACCTTAGCGTTCTCGCAGCTCATTGCAAAGAAGAAAAGTGACAGGAAGTAACCGATCAGAGATGTGCCACAGGCAAACCTGGCAGCCCCCATGATGTTCAGCTTCAGCCTCTTCATCAGTAGACCTCCAGAAAACATCCCCAGTGCTACAGCTGGGATATTGATCATACCTGAGGTTCAGAGAAACAGCATAACACAGGATCAATACTAACTGAAATTAGATGTTGCTTTAAAGGCTATATCTGGATTTGAAGAAAGACAAACTATACAATTTAATATTGCATAAAAGCTTGACTATCATCCGTCTGACACTTGATAATACCACATGCAAGTAAACTACAGAGACACTTTCAGAGGAAATGAGAAAAGACTTGCCTTGATCAATAGAGCCCTGCTTTTTATTTTTTTGTCTCTTCTCTTATACCTTCACATAAATCACATTAACATAAATATGAAGACATGATCTTTTATCTACACCCATGCTATTAGTTCTGGTCACTACTAATGCATTCTCTTTCATATGCAGCCAGTCTGGTCAGTGCCGCATGCATCTCCCTAGATGAGACCACATGTACGTAGATCCTTTCATCTTATGTTCGTTCCTTCGTTACATATTCCATTTCATATGCAAAGCTTTTTTTCATATTCACAGAGCTCCCATCTCTGCAGCTGTGGAGGTTAGTAGGCTGAGTTAGAACATAACTAACCCAGTTCTCCTTCCACTCTGCTTCATTCATGAAATGCAAAACACCATAAATTAACTGGGGGGAAAATGCTGACCTTTAGATCCCCTGAGATGGTTTATAAAGAGGAAACCCATGAATTTGGACATATAACCATATAAACATGTTCATTTTGTAATCTTTACAGCGTGTTGTGTACACACTTGAACAATGTACAAAAGCCCTCCCTGGGTCTGTTTTCTGCTTTCCAGGTTGTAATACACATCATTTATGTGACACAGAGCAGTATTCATGGCGCATGTTCCATACCCATCAGGAAGTTGGCCTTTGAGGCAGACTGCCTGAAGTGCTGCTCAATGTACTTGGGCTTGTAAGTGACCATGCCAATGAGAGAGTTCAGCTGGATGATTGTCACGCACAGGTAGATCAGATATACAGGGTTTCCCAGCAGAGTTCGCAGGGTTGGAATAAAGTCTGTAGAGGGATCAAAAATCTTATATAAAAACACACCTGTCTGAGAATGTTAAATATCTCTATGTGATAGTGACTACTGACTCCTCCCCCTCCCCCTACAACACTATCCCAGGTACAGTTTTGTAGTGATTTTAAAACTAAAGGTAGCCTGTGGAGTGTTATGCCACTAGGTGCACTATAAAGCAATGTTTTTACATGTGGGTCCCCATTTTGTTAGTATCAACTCGCATCCTGTCGTTGGTTCCACACTATTCAGCTGATTGACAGTTGGTAGCAGTCATGCGCCAACAGAGAAAGTGAAGAAGACTTCTAGCAAGCAAACATGGATTTAAACAATTTCACATATTTTTAAAATGATGGCTTTGGGGAGAAACACTAAATGCAAACATAACTTTTGTTTGTGTGCTGAAAAACTCCACAGGGCAAATTTAGGTTGGTTCATGTGTCCAGTGTCAGAAGACTGCAGTTTCCACAGTCTGACCTGTCACAATCTCAATTTTAAAGCCACTATGTAGTTACAGCAATATTGTGAATAATTTTATTATAATTATTTATATTTTTATTTGTAGAAAAAAATGACAATCCTGGTGAAAAATGGTGGTTGTTTTCAGCCATTTGATTACACATATAGGGGCTTTACACTTATGAAGTATTCAATCCATAAATATTTATTAACACCAACAACTACAGCAACCATTCATAAAATCTGAACTTCAGATAGCCCTCCAAATAACATCTTTTTCCAGCTCTGGCAAGTATGAAAATTACTTTGAAAGTCCATCCTTACCTTTGGCCATCTCTATGAAACTAGTATTATCGTCTGCAGAATACTTGTGCTTCAGAAGAGAAGAGTGTTTAATGAAACTTGTCTGCTCTGGTGTGCACTTTTCTGGGCCCCGGGGTCCCGTTATGGGTAGGGAGCGGGGCAGAAACCAGAATGGGATGGCAGAGAGTAGGGTGATGACCCCAGCTATGAGGTAGCCCAGCCACCAGGCCCCCACCCAGCGGGCATCTGCTGGGGTGATGGTGATAGTTTCTGTGTTAGGGGTACAGACAGTGAGACGTAATCAGTGCTCAGGTTGATTAAAATAGGGTGCACATTTTGCGGCTTATGGTTAAACACAACTGTGCAGTTTTTAAATACTTTTTATAGCCTACTATCTTTACTGGATAGCCAGATGAAAGCTGAGGGCCATTAAGGCACAACAGGGGTCATCAGAAGAGCCCTAATTACTCTTAGTCTGCCTTTTCATCGCTACAATTTCCCAAATGAAAAGCCAGGTCATGGAGGTTTGAGATAGGTACTCGGCTGTTTCATTTGAGCGGTCAGTAAGTGAAGACACTTGTACTTTATGCCTGACTTTATGGCTTGGGTTAGCTATTTTAAAAGAACCTATTTTCTTAGTTTTTTTTAAACTGGTCTTCTGACATGACTTGTTTTCATTGGTTTAAAATGAAATTATCAAAACAGGATATTAATTACATATTAATATTCTCTTTTTGAAGCAGAGCAGCACCTTATGTTTTTTATAGGTCAGTTGTGCTCATTTAGGTTTCTCTCCAATGTTTTTTTTGCTGGTTACCTTTCTTGCCATCCCAATTTCTTCTGTTTCCCTGTATTTTTTCTCTCTTCAGTTCATTCTTCTTCTACCTTTTTATTGTTCGTCTCCCTTTGCTGCACTCTATTTGATTGTAGCCTATCACAGGGCTTTGTCCTTCCTCTCCCTCACCATGCATTGTTCATTAGCTAATTGATACTAATCCTGTACACCTGTTCCAAGTCTGTACATATACTGCCTGTGAGCCACACGCAGTCAAATCTGATATCTCTGACCTACTTATAGGTCAGAGACCATGGAGAGTCGCCGAAGGGTCACCAATAAATAAATATCTATTGCCAACTGCCATGCCATTGGTTGCTTTACTGCTACACCAGTAGCATAATAATTTATTACGACATTCTGAACACATTGTAAAATTAAAGATTGAACCAGAATAAGTAATAATAATAATAATAAGTAAATAGGTAAATATGCTACAAACTGACAGAACAAACAAAACCTCTGCTTTATGCAACAAGATGGGTAGGCTTCAATATTATGTACAATGATGTAAGAATAAACAAATGTTTTCCAAGGAGGGTTAGTGACATCAAATGTGTCTAGACAGCCTGCCTGTTTACATAATGGTCTGTTCTTAAAATACGCAGAAATATACTCACCCATTTTTACAAATCCAATGTCCACGTAGATCTTGGCACAAAGGGAGCCCAATAGGTAGCCAAATACAGGGCCAACCACTGAAATGGTCTGCACACAGCCTAGGATATGATAAACACACCCAAAGAGACACACCACACACAAACTGTTCAGGATATTAGCTATCTGTTTTAACAACGGAGACACAATTCTTATTCGCGCATACATATTGGTTAAACACATCTACTGTATAAAAAAGGTTAAACCTGTTTTAAACCCTCATTTGTTTAAGACTACTGAGTAAGCATGTTCTTTTTCAGCAATACTCATAATCTGCTATTGCTCATATTTAAGCGAAACACCCCTGGTGAGCATGCAGAGCTTTGAGCAAGCATGGTATTACTGTGAGATACTGTAATGTGTTCTGAAGGAGGCTGCTGTTTCATGTGTGGGCTGCAGCCGTGTTTGAATGACTGTTTCAGGCAGTAATCATGCCACATGCATCCATGAAATTATCATCTTTTCTACAGTTTTGACTGCAGAGTACATTAAAGACTTGGATGTTCACTCCCAAAGAGCACCATTGCGGCCAGTTCTGTAGACTGCCAAGCACTCCAGACATTATTCTGCCTTTTTAAAGCTTATTAGTCCATGAATGGCAGCAATAACCTTGCTTTGAGCATTTGTTTCCTGGCATAATGAGGTGGAGAAATTATTAAGTTGGTAAATGATAAATGGAATATGAAGTCTTACTTACTTTTGTAGTATTGTAGCAAGTATTGTGACCTTTGTCTCTTACTAATAAAACAGTTCATGTGTCAATAATAAAACACAGTTCCTTAGTCTGGCATAAATTAAAATAAATTTTAACTAGGGTGTTTTAGCAATGTGCCCGTGG